GACTGACTCTCCCAGCAGTGGGGTCCCGGCAGACCTGGGTGATCTCGGAGCCTTTGATGGGCCTGAGAAGATCCTGCAGGGGGAGCCCGGCGACAGCAGCTGCTGCTGAACGTTGGGGACCCCATTTCCAGAGAGGGGCCCTGCCTGAGCAGGTGGAGGCTTAAGAGAGAGTTGGGACCACAGCACAACCCCCTCCACATGGGGATGTGGATTTGTACCATGGTGTGGACCCTTCTCCTCCTCGCAGTGCCCATCCATGGCTTGGGTGCCCTGGCCGGGGTGCCTCTGGGCTGGGATCTTTGGGCTCAGGGGTCTCGTCCCCGCTGCCTGGGCAGGGCTGTGCTGGTGGGGCTCTGGCTGACCCCCATCCTCTCCCCTCTCTCCTCTCCCTCCCCGGGTTCTCTGGTCCAGCCAGCGCTGACTCAGCAGCCGTCCTCGTTGTCAGCGAACCCAGGAGACACCGTCAAGATCACCTGCACTGGACTTGACAGCAGCTATCCTTATGCTGGCTGGTACCAGCAGAAGGAACCTGGAAGTGGCATTGTTACTGTGACTTACTGGAATGCCAGTAGATCCTTGAGCATCCATTCATGATTATCCAGTTCTGCATATGGAACTATGGTCACATTAACCATCACTGGGGTCCAAGATGAGGAGGAGGCTGTCTATCTATATGGTGTCTACAGCAGCAGCAGCAATGCTGCCAGAGTGACACAATGGGGAGAGCAATAGCGGAGTGATGCAAAAACCTCCCGCCATCACGGGTCTCTGCTGTCCCTGATGGATGGCCAGACACATGCCCCCTATGGCCTTGCCCTTGCTCTTCCATGGAGTCCCAGGTCTGGGTCTGTACCTGGTCATGTGGAGCAGGGATGTGCAGCTGTTGGGAACATTCTACTCCCGATGTTACCTAGGCCTGGGGTCCAAGCCATGGAGCTGGGGGAGGCTGTCTCTTACTGCTGGGACACCAGTGCTGATCAGGTGTCCGGGAGGGGTTTGAATGTCTCCAAGGAGGCTCAATTCACAGCTCTCTGGGTAACACTTCCAGTGTTCACAATCCTTGCAGCAGATGTGCATAGGGATCACATCCCTGTCCCACTGCTGCAGGAGGGCTGTGCTGGTGGGGCACTGTCTGACCCCCATCCTCTCCCCTCTCTCCTCTCCCTCTCCAGGTTCCCTGGTCCAGGCAGCGCTGACTCAGCAGCCGTCCTCGTTGTCAGCAAACCCAGGAGACACCGTCACGATCACCTGCACTGGGAGTAGTGGTGGCTATGGCTGGTTCCAGCAGAAGACACCTGGCAATGCCCCTGTCACTGTGATCTACTGGGACGACAGTAGACCCTCGGGCATCCCTTCACGATTCTCCGGATCTACGTCTGGCTCCACAGCCATGTTAACCATCACTGGGGTCCAAGCCGAGGACGAGGCCGTCTATTACTGTGGTGGCTATGAAAGCAGCGGTAGCAGCTATGGTGGTGTCACAGTGACACAGTGCAATGGGGAAGTGATACAAAAACCTCCCACCATCGCAGGAGCCAGTTAAAAGTCTCTGCTGTCCCTGTTTGGTGGTGGGACACGTGCCTGCCATGGCCCTGCCCTTACTAGCCTGTGCTGCAGGTGGCTTTGCCTTGTGTCCCAGCTCAGATGTCCCTCAGAGCCCCAGGCTTGTCCCTGGTCGTCTGGGGTGGGGGTGTGCAACACTTGGGAACATTCCATTCCACACGATACCCAGGCCTGGGTTCCAAGCCAAGGAGCTGGAGGAGGCTGTCTCTTGCTGCTGGGACACCAGTGCTCTTTGGGGTCGTGGTGACCCCCCAGCACTGTGGAAGGGAGACACAGACTCTCCATTGTCGACTGCTCCCTCAGGTGCTGTCTGCTGCTCTTCCTGGCAAAGCCCCGCAGTCGGTGGGGCTGGAGCTGCCTCTGGAGATCCTCTTGTGCCAATCCCAGCTCAAAGCTGAGTTGGCCACTGCAGGTTTCCCTCGGCCTGTCTAGGTGGGTTTTAATATTTCTAAGGATGGAGAATTCACATGTCTCTGGGCAACCCTTTCTGCTGTTTGAGCATCCTTGCAGCAGGAAGAAGATTTTAGATATTCAGGCAGATTTGCCAATGTTTCAGCCTGTCCCCTTTGCCTCTCATGCCATTAGTGGATACCTCTGAGAGGAGCCTTGCTGCATGTGCTTTGCTGCCCCCAGGAACTATTTATAACATCGATAAAATGCCTCTGGGGCTCCTTGCCTTGGACTCAGCCATCCCAGCTCGTGAAGCCTCTCTCCATATGAGCGATGCTCTCAGACCTTCACGGGCCTTGCTCCCACCTGCTCCAATCCTTGGCTGGGGAGCCCAGAGGTGACAGAGCACTGGGCTGTGTCTCAGGACGCTGAACCATGGGGAAGTCTCCTCTCCCTGGCTGCTGGCTATGCTCATGCTGATGCAGCCCACAGGACCTTTGCTGGCTCCTCTGTCCTCTTGGCCCCTGGGGCCCTTTTCCGCCAGGGGACTGCCAGCCACTCGGCCCCAGCATGCACAGGCAGGGCTGCCCCCGCAGGGAACATTGCTGCCCTCCCAGGCACGTTGGGGCAGGGCGGGAAGGGCCCAGGCCAGTGCGGGGCCAGGGTCACACGTGGCAGGGGAAGATGTGGAACCTTTGTTCGAGGTTGCTGGTGTTGGTGTGATCTGCATTTCTGTCAGTGGGAGCTGCCAGTGCTGCCTGCCCAGACCCGCTCCCAGTCATCCCCAGCC